CTCAAGTCTCTATCTTCAATGTAGTGTACACATCCGGGAAAGTGAGTCAGAGTTTGCCTCGTGTGGGCAATCTCACTGATCACGATGGATAGGTGGAAAAAACATGCTTAGACGCTTTTTCCACAACATCCAGGACTCACACTGCATTAGAAAACATGGTCAGCATTACGTAGTGCACATGCCCCGACCATATGTGGAAAATGCTAACGAAGCACTGTCCGCTTCGCTGTCTTTGTATTTCGAATGCACTGCGTGCACAGGAAATGGACAGCGGTCCACTGGTGTGCGACTGCGGCAGACCTTTCATGTCCTTACGGACTTTAAACTCGCATTGTGCGAGGGCATGCCCGGCCGTGGTGGAAGAGGGGGCGCAAAGGCAGGAGAACAATGCTGCCCACGACCCGGGGTCATCCGACATGGGCGCAGCAAATCTCGCAGCTGATGACAGCGACGACGCGGGGCCAGAGGACAACGCGAACGGGGCAGCGGGTGACAACGCAGAGCCGGAAGCGCAACCCGTCGAGCCTTTTGACAGCTCGCGCAGGCTAGCAGCGCTTATTTTGTCCGCACGTGGCGGCGTCGGTATGTCGCATTGCGACGTTGATGCTCTCTTGTCGCTTCTCAAAGACCCCATTCTTGTCGATAATGCAGGTCGCGTTGCAGAAATGCGAGACGGTTCATTCCCTTGAAGTGTCCCCGCCGTCAGACGACCAAAGTGTGTCCGGTCCGCGCAGTGGGGCGCTAAGCTATCACACGCAGTCAACCATTCGAGCGCACAAAGGTGTCGACGGGAATGGAAATCCACGATATGTGATCCCTCTCTCACTCTACTCCGACAAGACACACACAGACGGTCTTCAGAAACAGACCGCATACCCTCTTATGATGTCGCTAGTCGACCACGCGTCGGAAGCCAGTCTGCTGGCCTATTTCCCCGTGCTTCATCATCGACCCCGTGACAAAGGATGGGGTCTTCAGTCCAGCGCATTTAGGAAGCGAAAGGCCGTCATCTTCCACAAGGCCCTTTCGATGGTCTTGCAAGCTGCAAAGGAGGCGTCGCACGACGGCATCACGATACCATCGACGGGATTCGGGGACGTGACTGTCCACCCTTTCCTCCTCAACTATATACAGGACTATCCAGAACGATGTGCGCTGGCGAATGTGAAGTTTGGTGTATGCCCCACATGCACCGTGTCGAAAACGGACCTCGATGTTGTGGCCGATTTCACGGACTGCAGGAGATCCCAGACGCTGGAAACCCAACTCGTAGAAGCCCTGTTCACGGCGGACGACGATGACGTGCGTCACGAAGCGGGAGGGCGAATGGCAGAGTTGGACATGCATAGGCATGTTGAACAGAACGGCCTTTGGGGGTTCTACAGGGGGCCGAGCGGCGATGATCCTCAGTTAGACTACCACCTCGCATTGCAACCAGACCGTATGCACACGATCGAACATGGCATATTCCTGCACATGGTCGACGCATTCAGGGCGACAGCCTTTGAGAAGTTGCCGCACACACCGCAAACTGAGATCCTGAAGGAACTCGATGCGAGATTGCAATGCGTTAGTGAGAGATGTACGCGAACATATCCCCAACTTGTGTTGCCCGTGACCACAGGCAGCGATTTTTTTTCTAGAGAGGGACGCTTCGAGGCGAAACAGAACCGGTCTGTGATGACAGTGTGCATGTTCCTCATTTTTAATATAATCCCACGCTCGACAGGCAAGGGCATTATCGCCTGTTTCGTCAAGCTGATGCAAATGTACGTACGTTTGTTTTGGCGCACAGCACACACTCAAGCTTCCCTCGACGAATGCGACGCGTTGATGACGGACTTCGTAACGACCATCAAAGCGAAATTGGGAAGATACCAACCATCGAATTGGAAACTCCCGAAGTTGCATGATCTTATGCACATGAGAGCGAGTATCGAGCAATCTGGTGTGGCCGACACATTCACTGCAGACGTTTGGGAGCATCACCACAGGAGATTCTGCAAACAACCGTACTTGTCATCGAACAAAAAGAAAGCGTCAACGCAGATGGTCAACCACGTGCGCCGGTCGCTGGCTTTGCAGGAGGAGACCGGAATTGTAAGGAAAAGAAGGAAAAGGGCCGTTGAGAATAGGTCTTCTGTGACGGACTGTATGGCAGTGAGGTTGAACACCCTGGCACTATGCGACACGTCAATCCTTCAACTGCGCTGGTTCAACATCGATCAAGACCAGATACACGAGGTGGAAGGCGTTGACAGTCGTGCGTGTCAGATACTCGAAGAGCTCCCTTTCAGAACCAATTTTCGAGCAGCGATTACGGCGTACATGGCGGAGAATGGTTGTCAACCTCCTACCGATGATCTCGCTATATACACGCGAACACATCTCGCCATCGCTTGCACGCAGGACGGAACAAACAGGGGCACACTTGTTCAAACTGCACGAGCGTCGCCGCGGTTTCACGGGAGACCAGTGCACAGCGACGTCGCAATAAGAGCAGCCAACGAATGTACGTGGTTCGCATCAGTGGCCATGTTTTTCGTCGTCGATGCACCCACAGACGGCGGCAATGTGGAACACAAGTGCGCTTTTGTGCAGTGGTACAAAGAGGTTGACAGTGAACGGGAACACGTGACAGGTTGCAAGGAATTGAAATGGGAGAATGCGAATGGACATCAGCACAGCAGCGTCGTTTCGACCGACACCATCGTGGACACCGTTCACATTGTTCCGCGCTTCTGTAAACCACAATGGGGATCGAAAATGCATGCGCGCCACCGTGAGGACTGTTTTTTTTTAAACAATTACATATTGTAGAAGGAATAAATTTGAAGTTTGTGTGAGTGAGAAAGAGAGAGAGAGAGAGAGAGAGAGAGACTCATTTCAATTACGACAAAATCAATAAGTCTGTCTATTTCTTGTCGTCGACAAGATGGTCATGCTGTCCTCGGCCGAAGTAAATMTTTCTAGTAGCTKTAAACAAYTATGATGGCGTAACGCYGACATAACTACGAAGGAGAACCWAAACCTCATGCGAAACGAAGGTGACAAACAAAAGTTGACTACTGCGGGCCATGTAACCGAACACCGCTGCTGGTTGTTCTCGTTCTGGCCCGCAGTAGTCAACCTCTCTCTCTCTCTCTCTCTCTCTCTCTCACGAACTCTCTCGTCCCCACCTATGTACAAAGGGAGAAAAATATATATATATATATATATCTATTACAGCATCTCGACGAAAACCGTTTGCCGTTGCTAAAAAAAAAAAAACACAACTAATCCTCTGTGTCTTCTGCCTCTCCCTACATGTGTGATCAGGAACACAAAGTTGCGACGCCGCAAAGCGGGGAGGGGCGAAGGGGGAGGAGCGACACGGAACACAGAGTTACAGGGCGCAGGTAAGACAAGGGGATCAAGGATGGCAGAGTCGCACAGTAGTAATTGTTCCGTTGCTGCGAAGGGGCCATACCAGCGCACCGAAACGGGTAATGATGACAGGGACAGAAAACCGTTGTTGCCAACGAGCAGCCGGAGGTCAGCACAGAGCTGGCAGGACATGTTATCAGACCCTTGGCGCGCGGAAATGTACGATTTACTGACTGAGGGTGCAGCGGAGTGGCCCCGGTCCAGCGGGGAACAGTCTTCCTGTTGTGTGGGAAAACGGAAAGCAGGGGACATGACTACTGCGAGGGATGAGCAGACGGACATCACCGACGTGAACGAATTGTTCCCTTTTACATGGAAATCTGCGCAACACGCCATACCCGCATCAAAATCCGACATTGAACGGTTGTCGGACGACGGATGGCTGAAYGACAATATTATTGACATTTATTTGCAGTCTGTGTATRAAGAGGTTGGGCGGGGCCAGGACAGGTCTTCTGTTCACGTCTGCACAACTTTCTGGCATCCCGAGGTCGTCGCCAATGAAAGTTTTGGGCAGTTGAGGAAAAAAGGATGGGAGGACGCAATTAAGATCAGAGCACAGAAGTTGCATCGACTGTGCAACGAACTGCGACTCGCATCGGTCACTGTGATACCAGTGAATTGTAACAAACACTGGACTCTTCTTCTGTTGCTGAATGTGAGGTCTTTCTTGGAGGTCACTGCGGATAGCCGCATATCCGACCCTCCCATTGCTATCGTCGTTGACTCAATGAGAGGAAAAAAGCGAGAAGAATGGACGGCGTTGCGAAAACTTTTGTGGCACGAGTACCTTCACGAGGCTTCTAATTTGCAGTGTCTCACCCTTGAAAAGGTTCATTTTTCGTGGGTGACATGCAGGAATCTGGCAGGAAGTAAACTTGTGCATGCAGAATGCCCGCAACAGAACAATCAGACGAACTGTGGTGTTTATGTGTGTTCCATCGCTACCACCCTAATACAATTTCTCGGAAGAACCGCGGCAAAGGATGTGAGGGCGAAGGACGTACTGGAAGTTATCAAACTACAACGGTGAACGAAAGAACTGTTCGACAATTTCGCGAGTCGATGGTGGACTGTCTTGCTGCATGTGTTGCAGTCACAAAAGGCAACTGCACTTTAGCGGCTTCACAAGTAGCCAAAGCGTTGAGAAGCATAATAAACAGAAGATAGAGCAACACTTATAGGAATGAGATGTTCTCCAGGTCACCGAACGCGATGCGAGGAAAGTTGACTACTGCGGGTCAAAATGACATGAAATGTGGGATGTGTCGACATGTTTGGCCCGCAGTAGCCAACCTTATCGCTCTGATGGACGAGGCAACTATTCGGGGATGTGACTGTTGAGAATTTTTTTTGTTCCCAGATTATGCGATCTCCTGCCACCTGACAATACAAATGCAGTCACTGTGACGCACAAAGGGGTTGCTCCCTTGCATGACTTCGCAATTTCAAATCTCTCTCTCTCTCTCTCTCTCTGCGTGACAAACAACATTTCCGACGCACTTGTGGTTCTTATTCAACTTTGATGCATGTGGGAAAAAAGGGTGATGGCTCCAAGGCGAAAGTACGAGGATCTGTGCAGGTCTTTGAAACCTGCTGGAAAGAAGGACAAGTGCCGGAAGAAATCGGGGTCTGAGAAGAGGGAGTCGAAAGAGCATCGCAGAAGCGGTGCCGGCCTCTCCGCGAAAACGGTGCACAGGCGCAGGCGTAAATCCGGGTCGAAAGTTACAGTCCCTTCGAGTGAGCGGGACATTTCAACGTTGAAAGAACGTAACGAGTCGGCCCCCTCGACCCCTGTCGGGGGAAAGCGCGGAAGAGGCGCCGAGAACCGTCCGCCAAGGGCCCCAGAAAAAAAATCGCGGGATGATAGAAGCGCGACTACTCACCGGAGTTCAAAGAAGAGAATATCCTACAAAGACGAGAGACCAGTGGAGACAATCGATCTTGGAGGGTCTGACGACAGGCACACCACACCCCAAGCGGAAGAAGAGGAGGAACACGACCGTTCCACGCCAGAGAAGTCAGACGGTGCGGAGGATGAGGAGGGGGGAAACGAGGGAGACGACATCGGTCCTTCCCGCGGGCAGTCACAAGACACCGACGAGGACGACAACAGCGACGGCAAATCGGTTAGCCAGAGTACTGGCGAAGACCGGAGCGCCGCTTCAGAAGGAGATGATTCGCCATCTCCTTCGAGGATGCTGCGCAGCGAAGGGGAACGGCAGGCACGCAATGGCAGCGACACCGAGGAGCCTGTCGGTGACAGACAAATCGTGCAGCACGTGAGCGCCACTGGAAAAGGTAAAAAACCCGCGTCGCACTCGCTCCCCTCCCACTCACGAGCAGCTAATCCCGTGCCCCCACGGGGCGCAAGCCTTCACGCACGGAAAAGGGTTTTAGTGAACGCACTGTTGATAGCCGAATCTTCCAATTACCAAGTGCTGTATTCAGAACAAGGCGCCGAGTTGCTAAGACTATCCTGTGCGTTGTGTCTTGTGTTTCCCTGCCCATCGCAACRTCAGGAACGAAAGCGCGCGCAAGGGGCATAGCCGCGCAAGGACTCAACGAGGAGGGTGCTGTATTAGCGAAGAAAATGAAGGGCAAGCTGTTGCGTTCCGTCGCCAAAGCCTTTGCGTTCTCTTCGGCCAACGACGCAACTCTGTACCCTACAGAGGACACGTTTTTCGCGGCGGTGCAAGCGACGGCCAAACTGGCAGGGGAGACAGCAGAGGAAGGGTTGCGGTCTCACATTGCAGAGCGCGGGATTCGAGTTGTCATAGGGGAATGCAACAGAATTATGACGACGATCCGCGGAGAGATTACCTGGCAGCAGAAACATTGGTTCTGGGCAGAAAAAGGGATTCCGCTGGTCAGATCGCAGCAATCGGACCACCACCTCCCCGCTCGCAACAAGATGCGCGCCGAGATGAAAGAGAACAAGACATGGGGACGGAGCGGCGACGATCCGTGGGGCGCCCCCGCCTTCAAGACGGCACTCTTAAAAGTTTTCTAGATGAGGAAGGAAGGACGAAACCTCGGCGTCACCCTGCAGCAACTCGCTTTCGCGGAGATGGTCATTCAATGTGAGATAGAACAGACAACGAAGACAACACGAGCTGCGGAGCAGATAGAAAAAYTGGTATCTATAAAGCAGGCAATCGTCTCATCTCTACGAACGCGCGACACGGTAATGAGTTTTTCCATCTTCAAGCTGGACAAATCCGTATTCGTGGCTGAGAAGGCAGCAGCCCTCTTTCGCTGTGGCACGCCGTCTGTCGACAGGCAGCACCACAATAACGGATGGCGATTACGACGTCGAATACATTCCCTAGAGTACACCAGCCGGCGGCAGGGGGGCGCGCACTGACAGTCTGTGCGCCACACCCTGAAAATTTAGGGACAGTTTGGCTACATTTCGACATGGAAGGGAGGATGTTGGGCAATGACCAAACGGTGGAACGGAAGGTTCTTTTTGTAGACGTTTCGAATCAGGAGATGCAAAATGGAAGGGGACAGTCGGAGAGAGAGAGAGAGAGAGAGAGAGAGAGAGAGAGAGAGAGAGAGAGAGAGAGAGAGAGAGAGAAACCTTCTGTTTTGCAGAAGAGAGAGAGAGAGAGCGAGTGCTTGCACGCACGTGCACCGCATGAGGATTGCGAGCCGTATGTTCCATACAGTCTGATAACTACACAACTTCTGTTATTTATGATACACAATTGTACAAACATTTGTATTCCTCATCTTTGTGCGATTGAGTGGTGTGTGCGGCTGACTCTCTAATGGTAACATGACACGATAATGTGTTTTATCAAGTTGTGGTGAAACTTGTTTGTTGCAGGGCAGGGCGACGTAAAATGAGGCTCCCCAYGCCAAATCGCCTTATATAGAATGGGACACAGCGATCTTAGGGGCACAGAAAAGGAAGGTTGGCTACTGCGTGCCAAAATGCGACGGACCCTGCGTTGTTCGACAACTTGCGGCCCGCACTAGTCAACCTTGTTTGTACGAGGGGAGCCCAGCATTTAATCGACGGTCTCCCACGTCTGCTCCGTACAAAAATTTACTCGTTCTGGTGATGAGAACTGTTCGTTTCAGGGCAGGGTGACGCCGACCTCGGCTCCTCACGCCAAATCGTTTTATATAGAACGGGACACAGCAATCTCAGGGAGAAAGAAAAGGAAGGTTGGCTACTGCGTGCCAAATTGTGTCGGACACCGACGTGTTCGACAAGTTTCGGCCCGCAGTAGCCAACCTTGTTTGTACGAGGGCCCCCCCCACCATTTTATCGAAATGTGCACCGCCGTCGGACACCGAAAGTCAACCTTGTTTGTACGTGGTCCGAAATGTGGTCGTCAGCAGCCTGCAACATCTCTCTCTCTCTCTCTCTCTCTCTCTCTCTCTCTCTCTCTCTCTCTCTCTCTCTCTCTTATCCCTCAATTCCATCAGTCAGTGCAATCATCATGTGCCAGGTCGGCGCGCGCACACCCAACGCTCGCCCATGTGATCTTCGTACTCCAAAACGTGCTCACCACAAAACGAGGAAAACACAATCACAACCCACCCCCGGACAACGCAAATGACCTGTATAGAAACTGCTAGTGCATACGGTCCAATACCCTGCTTCAACAAATTCCAACACAGTTTCAACACGGTTCAACACATTT